CTCGGGCAACAAGAGTGAAGCTCTGTCTCAAAAAAAGAAAAAAAAAAAAAAAAGAAAAAAATATATATCTCTATATATATCCCTATTTATATATATCCCATCTTAAAAAAATGGCATTGAACAAACATTAAAAAAATGAGAGAAGGGGAACACACAATCACACAGCATCACTCACTATTGTAAGTCACTATGTACCTATTATTGTGGGTATTGTTTAATTGGAAACATCACCATTTTAGGATCTAAGATTAAGGGGAATCTACCTAGAACAGACAACAGAAAGCATTCCAACTATGAAATATGATAAATGGCTTATGTTTAAAAGATGCTGGAGAGTATCCAAGAAAGACTGCTAGCTTAGAAATTTATAAAGGAGATGAAATGAAGAATGTGATGTTATCTGTGCTTATGTATCTGTTAGAAATTAAATGATACCTATTTCTTTTTGAAAAGTGGACTGCCCTCCAGTCCGAGTGTAATAAGAATTAAAAAGACTTCTTTTTTTAAGAGTTAAGTTGAAGAAGGGCTGAGCTGGCTTCCAAGGGACTAATTAAGGAATTCAAGACTGGACTATATAGGATTCTTTAGGGATTTGCAAATGTTTCCATTCTAATTTTCCAGAGACAAAAACGTAACCGGGAGAAAATTAGAAAAAGAAAGTGACCTGTGGCATTTGGCTACCACTTTGCAAACTGGCTTATTATTAACAGTTTTCAATATTTAATTGATCCCCCACCTAAAAATTCTCACCTTATTGAGTTCAACGGCTGATTGTCTATGATCATAAGGCCATCCCCAACACATACACATTATTTGAGTCACTGTGAGATAATGTAATAAAAGCATCTGAAGCACTTGTTTCATTTAAACAGAGACATGCCCTCAACATCATTAAGAACAGAAAGTCTTGCCCTTGAGTTTTTCTTCAGAGATGCAGAATTAGCTCAAGGAATGGATGGAAATGACATTTTTTGGTAACTGATTTTAGGGTCTCAAATACTTCTATGGAAACAAGTATCCTGAGCATTTTTATGCCCTTGATCTTGTGAGTTTTTCCAGAGGCATGATATTAATTTCAGTTAACTTGTTAAAATTATTCTTTTAGAATTTCTAAGTGTCTCAAAAGTTAAATGAATTGGGGAAAAATGTTTCTTATTCTAAAAAAGAGGTATGCATGTGTATATATAAAAGGAAGGAAAAAGGAGAAAAACAAATCCTCATTTTGATATTTGCAGGAAATATCTGAGGTTTAGCTTGGGAGGTGATGGGGCAATCCAGGGCAAGAAATGATGTCTTAAATAATTAAGGTGACTGCTCCTGACCTTCAACTAAACAGACTGCCTTCCTGTCTACCCTGAAGGTATCACTTGGGTGTTGCTATCCACTGATTCACTTCTGCAAACTTCCCTGACAGAAGAAAGGGGGACTTGCAGCTGGACACTGCTCCCTGGCTCTTTGGAGCGGGTTCTTTACACGATGCATGGACCACAGATCAGCTGCCATCCTACTCGGGTAAAGCTTGCTAAAGATGCAGGGTCCTGGCCCCGACCCGAAACCTCTGACTTTGAATCCATGTCAGAAATCTTCTAATTTATGTACTTACTTGTTTATCTGTTTTGTTCACTGCTATACCTTCAGCTCCTAGAAAAGTACTAGGAACATGGTAGATGCTCAAGAAATATGTACTGAATAAATTTTAAAAAACAAAAAAACAAAAGGGAAGGAAAAGGGACTGCTTTCATGTTTCTCCCACCTCCTCAAGTTTTAACAGCTAAATGTTAAGCTCTTCACAAAGTCTTCAGTGTAACCTAATGAAATTAAAAACAAATTTTACAAAATAATTTCTCAAGTGGAGAGAATATTCTCAATTTATAAAACCATAAGACCAATAAACCTGAATAATGATAGTACTAAAAAAGACAATTACTTATCTGTTAATTCCTTTGAAGGAAAAGGGCTCAAAATTGTGATTCTCAGACTTGGAGATTATAGGGCCCGGGTATAAAATACTTCCCTAAATAACTTACCAGGGCAATGGCATTATTCTTGCTCTAAACTATTAATTAACATCAAATCTCAACGTGTAGAGGGGCTAGGAGAGGCTAGAAAGTGAGCATACTAGGATAAGCAGGAAAAAAAAAATCAGAAATAAACCAGAACATGACACCAAACAGTAACCTTTTATGACAATGATAGGGAGACTCAGAGTTAATACTTACAAGGTAAGAATTGCTGAGCTAAGTAGAGATCTCTTTTATTATGGTCTTCATTCTATCATTATTAAACCTAGGAAAAAGAGAGAAGACTTTAAAAATTTCATCACATTATATGTAAGTTAGAACATTTCAACTGAGGTTGCCACAACTGTATTCTGATCCTTATATAGCACAGAACAATCAGATTATAAACACCCAGCAGCATTTGTATGTTTCAGCCCAGTGCAGCATTCTTGTTAGTTTTTTTGTTAAGAGATGGGGTCTTACTCTATCAACCAGGCTGGAGTGCAATGGTGTGGTCCTAACTCACTGCAACTTCAAACTCTTGAGTTTAAGCTATTCTCCTGCCTCAACCTCCCAAGTAGCTGGGATTACAGGCCTGCATGCCACTACATCCTGCTTATCATTGGCTTTTATAATTTGCTATTCTATTACTATTGCCCTCTTGAAGTTTAACTCAAATATTTTAGTCAAAGCTAAAACTCTAACTTGGAGTCCAATGAGCTTCTGGAGGACATCATATATTTGCAGATATTTTAAGATAAATTCAAGATCACATCCCAAGACTGATTCATGTCTCTCACACACATACAATTGCATAATCTATAATCCATGTATTATATACTGCACAATTCCAAGTACACAAAGGAAGGAACATATGACATATATTTAAAGATATGCTGGTAATTTGAGTTGGTTAGCATGTTTGGTTTCTGTGGGTCATGATTCTAAGATGTAGTTGTTACATCAACTAATAGTTAAGCACTTACTATAAGATAAAGAATAGAAAGAATACGACAAACCCATCCATTTTCTTAACGGAGAACTGCAAGTATATGTTTTACTGTAGACTAATCTTCACAGAAGAAGAACAGCATGTTTTTAAAAATTTCAAAATCATTTGCTTCAAAATTCATAGAAAAATCAAGGGAATACCAAAATGAACCTCCACATCCTATCTCTGGACTCCCAATCCAGCTGTACTGAAATCTAAAACTATGCCATGCTTACTTTGCTTTGTTTTTTATGAAAATTGATTACACATACAGATGATGTCCAATTTTATCATTGCTTTCAAGCTATCGATAAATGGTATAATATCATACATATTTTACATACATGTTACTCCATATATAACCTTTATGCAACTTATTTTTGTTTGTTGAGGTAGGATATTCACCCATGATGACAAACACAGCTCTCATTTTAGTAGCTATACAGTTCATCACATGATGATGTCACAATTTGCCATTCTCTTCTTGCTTAACATTTACATTGCTTTCATTTTTTTTCCAATTACAAATAACCAAGACTTTTTTTTTACATGTCTATCTAGAGCATCTAGGAATAAAATTGTTGGGTGAAAGCCTATTGTATCTTCAATTTTACAAAGATACTGCTAAATGCTCCCACAAGCAGCATATGAAAAGTTCCTCATTTTATATTTCCTCCAACATTTGGAAGCATATTTAAGAAAAACAGCTACTATCTATACGAAAATTTAAAAATTTGTAAGTGATCAATTCCTTCGGTTTTCATCAAGTATTGGTTTAACATAGGTATACTAAATGTTCCAAACAAAGAGAATAGAATGAAATTTGGCCCAAGGCACTTACATGAAAACAAAGCTCTGATAACACAGATTTTCCTTATATGACTGAGGAAATACCAAGACCTAATCTATTTTTTAATCAGCCGAATTTAAGATTCAAGAACTTAATCTAGAAATGATAAGATTCCTAATTAAATATTAAGCTTAGATTCAAGATGACCAAAGAGGGAAAAAAACATGCAGGAAAAGTAGCTGGTTTGTTGGTATGAACAATCCCTCCCCCAAGTTCATTTTGGGTAGTGCTTCTCACAAATGTGGTTGGTGCTCCTAAGAAAAATCTCTTAGAGCTTGTAAAAAAATGCAAATTCCAGGTCTGGAAAAATGTTTTTATTTTATTTTTTAAATTCTAGGTTATTCTCATACAGGTGGTTCGCAGGCATTAAGCAGTAAGTAATGATTAAAAATGAGGTGTTTTCAACACAGAGGATTATGTAACTCATGTTTTAGTTAGGGGAGGTAACAGTAATTAATATGTTATCTGCTAAATTACATAAACATATTTTTTTAAAAACCTCTAGCATTAATCAACAACAACGAAAAAGTAACCTCAATTTATGGCTGAATATGCTTGACTTCACAATGCCAGAAAAGGTTGTGGGCTCATTTATTTTTTCAGATAACTAGACACATACTATGACAAAGCTCTTTTTAGTAATATTAGCAGGGAACTAATGTTCTGAATTTACTGTGAGTGGCACAGGAAAATATTAAGAGTGAGAGTGATCAGGAGTGATTTTAATGAAGATGACCAGAAAGCAACTATGATTACCTTTTAAACAGAAAGCTATTGCAAATGTCAAACTTTAATCAGGACATTTGGCTTTATACATACACACATACATACACACACACACACACATATACATACATACACACATACACACACACACACCTCCCCCCACCCACCCCCTTAGTTTCCCACCAAGAATTCTACGAATAAATTCAGAACATTTATAGAAATCCAATATTCACACTTCTCTGTAACTCTCACCTATTGAAATTAGATGTAAAAGGAAGAAAAAAAATTGAATATTTAGGTTATAAAAATCTGTGCAAATTCAAATTATAAAAATAAAAACATTCTTCTACAGTATTTGAAATTACAAAGTCCTATTTCCAAAAGATTTAGAATAATCTGAGCTTTCTAGATAAAAAGTTCAGATAAAAGATATTTCAGTGAGAAATGGTAAATAGAAAAATAGTTTAGTAGTAAGAAAAAAGACATAAGTTTTCATCTGTTGCCTGCTTTTAGTTATTTACAACACTAAGTTAACATAGCATGTTGTTTTCTTTCTTCTATTATAGTGAAATCAACAAGAATTTGGCCTTGTTAGACTGGGCTTTTATAAAACAAAGATAATATGGTCCAAAAGTGAAAGAAACACTCCTGTGTGGCCATGGCCAACTTTTCTTTTCTATCCTCAATATATTACCTAACTTGTGATATCAGCAACTAATTATAATTTTTTTCAGTCTACCTGCTTAAAAGTGAAAACATGAAACATACCATATATACATGAAACATACTACCTATACATCTAGAAACAAGACAGGTTTTCCATTCTAATGGATGGAATTAACTGAATAAAAATTAAATGAACTAAAGCCAGAGTAAATAGTAAAAAAATAATAGAGTCTAAGAACTACAAGCATCTACTGTTCTCTTTATGCTGCAACCTTTCTGCTAAAGAATGTATTCTCTATACTGTGTATGTGGTACAGTGACAGTTGGGCTCTTCCCACCTAGGTTTGTAAAAACGGATGGGTGCAGGCTCCTTTGGCTACCATTATTGCATACTGATGTTATTCTGCACAACAGCTGACAAGCAGCATCGATCTCCCAGCCTCTGCTCCCAGCTGTAAGGGGTAAGAACAAGGGCTGTGGTGATATCTTGTTTATTCACTGCTGTTGCTGCTGCTGCTGCTGCTTCTTAAACAGCAAGCTGAGAAAAGACTATACAACTGACACACAGAGGAAAAATGGTTCAGAGATCAACCTACCTCTCAAGGTCTGCTTATATCACTATATGATAAAATTATTTTTAAAATAATTTTTTCTTTAAAAAGTGGGGTGGGGAGAGAAAAAAGACAAAATTGGTGTTTTGATTAGAAAGGGAACCTATAATGTATGCAAGGAAAAGGAAATTAATGACGTATATAATAATCTTCCCCTTGTAAGTTTAGATTTAACCGCTCAATTATCAAAATTTTCTGAAGAGTTTTAACCAATGTTGGGGTAAATTCATAAAGAGAGTAACTTCCCTACCTATTCTCCTGGAAAATAAGAAAGTGTCAAACTCCAATCAAGAAATGACACTTTATTTTACTTACAAAATGCCTCTGGCTCCCAAGAACCCCCTATCTAATTACCACCATATGTTTGACTTTAGACACTATTAGCAAAGAAGTAAGATTTTAGTCCATAATGTTTTTGCATAAATCCCATTAGAAAAACTTCCATATGCAATTTACCTATTTTAAATGTGCAATACAAAGTTAAAAACTCAGTAAGTATATAGTATTAATTGATGAGTAACAGAAATATTCATTGTTCAATTACCTTTAAATGTAATGTGATGCTATTTATAGATTTACAGCTTTAACTCTAAAGGCAACTCATCTTTTAGAACCTTAAGCAATTTGTGATTCAGAAAAATATAAAAAGTCAGAAAAATTTGGAGATCTATAAACTATTAAAAAGAAAAACCCACATAGGCTAGAACTGGCTAGCAAGTTTAAATAATAATACTTAATCAAGAAGGCTAAGTTTGAGACATTTTAAAATAAAAGTATGAAACAGTAGCAATATTTTAAATTTAGATATTTTGTAAAAAATCAAAACCCAACCCCAATCTTCTATTTTTATCAAAATTGAAAAATTTTTCTGCTTAGCAGCTCAATGAGGAACAAAAAATGTTAATAATAATAAAAATAATTCTGAAGATCAGAGGATACCAAGATACTTTATTTGTTTGGTATGAAGGATATAAAATAAAAAAGACTAACAGCAAATCCTAAAGAAAGATTTTTAAAAATCTAGACACTTAGAAGCAGTAATGGATTAATAAACTATTAACCAGTAGGATTAATCAGTCTCAGCAGCCACATGTGAAATATGCTTCACATATCTCCTCCAAGATTCTAACCATGAAAATTGGAAAGTAAAACTAAATCAAATAATATGCTAATGAAGTATCAAAAGTATGGTTTGTGGTGCTGTGAATAGAAATTTCACCTCAAAATGTATTTAATATGAATTTTAAACCCTCACATTAATTATTACCCTTTGAAAAATGCCTATCAGAAAATATAATTCTGATACATTAGATCTCATTTGAAGAAAAACAACTGAAATAAGTTAAGGATGTTATTTGCTAGTTTAAGAAAAAACACATAAAATACACACATGTACAAAACTGCTTCAAATAAATACTTTTAAAACTTTTATTTAAAAAGTTAATTGTATCTCTTATTTAACAAATTCTAAGCAATATATAAAACCTCTATTAAAATTGTCATAGCTGACCAACTGCCTAAAATGTAACATATCCTTATAAACTAGTATTATACATCTGACAAATAACAAATAATTTTAAGTTCCTTCATATGTAGATATGTTAAGTTTCCTCTGTTCTAGTTTATTCAAATATTCTTTCTATCCTAAAAAAACTATTTCAGTAAGACAGGAACAACCATGGTATAACTGTATTTTAGGGACAGCTAAGAATTTTTCCCAAAAGTGAATGTTATTTAACCCTGATTATGCATTTAGCCAAAAACATAAATATTGAACAAAGGCGATACAAATCACTGAAAAAAAGATAAAAATTAACACAATAAATCTCTTCCCCCAAATTCCGACATAATTAACTACATATCAGGGCTTAAATTTAGATAATCAGGTTTGCAAATTTAAAACAGTCAAAATCTTTACAAAATGTCTTTCAAGGGGTAGTTAAAAGAGAGCCAATCATACACAGTAGTTAAACCCTTTGTTAATTGGTCTCCTAAAATAACATACTCCTAATTAGGTTAAAGTTTCTCACCCTGTAAGAATTGACCAAATACAAGTAAACTGTTAATATTTGTATTGATTCTTCTAGATATGAAATTATTTACTAAGCTAAATTATTAGAAGTTTATAACCTAGTAAAATAACTATAGGAAGAACAATTATGTGATGCTATATATTTGTGTTCAAAATAAGTTTGGATATCTTCAAAGATCACAAATCATAAACTCTCTAAATTTGGAACAACTCTGTGGATTTATATCTTATCTACCATATAAACTCAAATGTTGTCTCTCTTTTCCTACTTAACTCATTAAGGTTGTTGTAAAGATACGCACTGAAAGTGATAAACTGAACCTGGATTTTTTTCCCCCAGACACTCATGTAACCATATTTTTCACTTTTCATCTTAATGTTCTCTAACCTGAAAAATACTTGTTAAGTCAGGGAGGGAAAAATTGCATTTATTTTCATTCTACTCAAACTAAGCTGCTTTTTCATAAAAAATAAAATAAAATAAAATCAAACATATGAAGACATTCTACACCTTATAATTATCTCAATCACATTACAATATGACACCAATATAAAAGTATTTAAACTTCACCCTTATATTAAACTCTGATTTCTAAACATTTTTACATTTTGTTTAACTTCAACTGTTAATTGATTAATTCCTGGATTATCTACCTAATATCCAACAATATAGAAATATCAAATTTCAGTTTTTAGTATTTTGATATGTATTTCAACATTCACTCTTAAACACATCTCAGAATTCACCTTTAAAAATTTTACATTGTTGGAAGTTAAAAGCAGTTCTATGATCATGATGATATACTTCATTCTTAAGACTAAATAATAATTTTCTCATGAAAACAACTTTTGACATTTCCTCTAAGTATATAAATATTTTAGGTGAAAAAATCAAAATAAATATTGTACTATGTTAGTAAACCTTACTTTAGCAAGTAGTTTTTACATAAACACATACATATGTACATATAATACTTTACTATGAAAGAATTAACCAAGTAATACTTAGTAATACTGTTCAATAAGTTCATTTTCACTATACCAGATTACTATTTTAGAAAATAAAAGCTGTATTAGTTAAATACTATCTGAAATTTTCAACTAAAACTATAAAAATCACTGGAGGTTTAGGGATTCTACAATTTTATTTTTAGAGTCTGCAACTTTTGATATTAACAACTTATTTTACTCAGCGTCTCTTGGGTAAGACACTAGTAATTTCTGCTTAAGAAAGTGGTTTTTTCAGTTTCGACCATATTGCCACTTTTGGTTAGGGCAGTACTTGGAATACTTTACATTTTCTTAAAATATTCTCATCAATTTTACCTAATTTTGTGGGCTCTACCTACTACTCTACCACCTGTCAAACAGCTAAGCACCAAATTCCATTTGATTTAAACTCTCCATTTTATAAGATGAAAAGTTCATATTTTACTGAGTACAGTGTAATAACCTTAAGAAAATAAAAATTACTATATATACATATTTTTGGAATAAATTCAGTTGGAGTTACACCTTAGGATGATGAAAAGAACATTAAATGTATAAAAAAAATCTGGAGTTTTAGTAAGCTAGACAACTCAGCTATGGCCACTTCACATGATGATTTCTGTTTATTAGTAATTATTGATTTTAGTTCACGTAAAAGTTTCAGCTTTACCAATTGCATAGTCCAATTAATAAATATTGCGAAGGCATAAAATTATATGGTTTTAAAATTCATTAGTATACCTTAATCTCATGTCATGTTCCAATGCATTATGTGAGTATTCAATCAAAGAAGTGAGGCTGTTCTCCAGAATTAGTTCTCTGCTACAGGTCAAAACCTGCAATAAAAATGTCATGTATTATAGCATGAAGACACTCAACAGATTTCCATCTCCTGCAGTTCCACAGCTGATCCCTGAACACAGGGGTATGGTCTTCAAAATGACCCCAATCTTGCCAATGTTCAGGGAAGTTCTAACTTGAAAATGTTTTTAAAATAGAAATAACTTGATTAGAAACACCTGTGATACGCTTTATCATCCGAAGCCTCTTCAAACAAATCAGATTAATATGTTTCTGCTTTCATTTCTCTTTAGGGCATTCATGTTCAAAGTAGTATGGGTGAGTGTGTATGCGGGTAGCTGTTAGAGGACTGGTACAAGAGGAGTTCATAAGGAAAATATCAGAACCGTAGTTTGTACTTGTAAAACTCATAAATTCCACACAGTTTAAAAAGTTACTGAAGGGACAGGGACAAAATTTAACTTTCTCTCCAAATTATCAAATGTTTTAAGGATGACAGAATTTACCATTCTTTTCTTTCTTTCTTTTTTTTTTTTTTTTGAGACGAAGTTTTGCTCTTGTTGCCCAGGCTGGAGCGCAATGGCACGATATAGACTCACTGCAACCTCTGCCTTCCAGGTTTAAGGGATTTTCCTGCCTCAGCCTCCCAAGTAGCTGGGATTACAGGTGCCCGCCACCATGCCTAGCTAAGAATTTACCATTATTTTCAACTTTACTCTATTGCCAAGCCTAAGTGAAAAACATCAGTATTTCCAAATATTTTAATACATTACAGTCCTAACAGACCAAAATGTGGAGCTTATTTTTTTTTTTAAACAAGTTAACATATTTACAAATAATAAATGGACCACTACTAGACCAAATGGTTTTTTAATGTTTCTAAGTAGCAGTGAGATGTAGCTGAATATATGTTAAGTGTTTTTTTTTTCATTTGTTTCACCTTTCTGAATTATAATGATTCAGTGGCAATCGACTATATAAAAATATTAAATTACCAAAGGTGTATCATGTATTACATGTAAATCATAATGCTCTGAATAAATTTTCCACTTATATTTAAGAATAGCTTAGGAAAATGAAAGAATAAAAACTAGAAGAACCTTTATTGCTCTGTTTCCAAATATTTGATTGTTTAATGACAAAACCCACACAATTATCCATAACTTACAAACACCAATCCAAATACCATGACATTTTAAAAAATTACAATCATTTATACACAATCTTCCTCAAAAGACAAAGTTTTCTATATTTGAGCACTCTGAAAATTAAGGTATCTTAAGTTTAAAAATCATAGAAGGAAAATAGTAGAAAACAAAATGTACTACATGCCAAATGTTAAATTTTTAAATAGTAGGGAGACGAAAAATACTAAGCAATAAGAAGCAAAAGAGGTTTGGAGATAAATAAAATAATAAACCAATGTGTATGATAAAAAAGACGATATTAAAAACACTTCAAATAGTAAAACTCAAATCTAAAATCTATTACAAAATAGAGCTTCGTATTTATTCTTAGAAACCACTATGAGTTATTCCAGTACAAATTTTCTTTACTGAAATAAGGCAGGATTAAACAAAGGTATAGTAAACTTCTTATAATTTGATAAGAAATATTAATATTCAAATATACATTTAATATCAATTCCAATATTTAAAACTTGTCTTTCTAAAAGGAAGATCCTTTAGAGCATCTCCTATACAGACCAAAAATTAAAAACAAAAAACCAACCAAGTCAAAAAAATAAAAAAAATTCAGTTCCCCACCAGAAAGTAATATTTATATGAAGGATCTACAATCATTTGTACTTGCAAATAACGAGATAAATAAACATATAATAGTAACGTGATATTCTAAAAATCCATCTTGTTACTCTTAAGACAATCACGTTAAAGTTTTAATACTGTCACTTCTAAAAATTAAATGCTTAATCTCATTTTTAATGCTTATTTGAAATAAAGTGGTATTTTACTACTGATTTCCTTTGGTGTTATGAGATTTGGGGCTACAAAATTTCAGCAAGTCATAGTTTGAGCTCTAATTATGTGCCAAAATTAGTTGCCTGGCATACAATGTTTCAAAGTTTGCTGAATTAAAAACAAAACAAAACCAAAAACCCCCACGAAACTATATGTATGACAATTTTTTCTAAAATGTTTTTTCTAGTTATAATCAGACCAAAAATCTGTGTCTTCTAAAAAGGGGTTAAAAAGAAATTAATATGTGACTTTTTAAGCTTTATTAGACAACAGAAAAAAAAGACGAGCCAATTTTAGGTAATATTTTAAAATAAGAGAAATTTTTATAGAATAATTTTTCGAAACTATAAATTTATAATCTTTTGAAGAAAACTAATGTGTCATATATAAGAATTATCTAATACAGTCTCTAGGAATTTTTTTTCATTTTGTAAACCAAATCAACTGACCCATATTTCTGGCTTTAAGTATTCTGTGACATTCTAAATAGTTACTACCTACCAATAAACAAACAAACAAAAATATATACAAGTCTTCACAAAACAAAAAAACAAACTACATAAAGCATGATGAAACTAGGAATTCAGATTATGAAAGCTACTTTAAAATTTTTATCCTTAGCTGTAGTTCATGCAAAACATTAAAACTGATATTAATCTGATTAGAAAAAATATGCAGTGTTACATACAAACACCCGAGGCTACATTTTGTAAATGTACAACTAAGGTTAACAGCATTTTTTTTAAAGTCTGTAATTGCACTTTTATTTGAATTTTTAAAAATAGTGTGGAGGTAAACAAATGAAAATCAATGCTACCAGGAAGACTGATACCTTACCCTCTCTAGTCCCCTTTCCCCCACAATATGTAAACATAGCTTTAAAAAGAGGTGACCTATTATAGCAACACCACACCCCGCAGTTGCTTTCCTATGGTAATAAATGACTTTACTAGTCCTTATAATACAAATTACAGCTGTCAATTTCTACAGAAAAATATGGATAAGTGCACATAAACATTAAAAAATGCACATCTGTTGTACCTTATATCTATATGCCCACAAATCTAAAACCAACATCTTCCTCTTATATAGCATCACATAAAAGTGAAAATATTTTGAATGCTGTGGATTTTATTTAGGCGCTAGTGTATTCTCAAGTTTGAAGTGATGTATTTTAAATAAAGGAATCACTCACTTCTTTTAAAAATGGCTTATTAAACAAACAATCCTTTACCCATTACCCCCTAAACAAACAAAAAAATCCCATAAACCAAAGTGCTAAAAATGTATGGTTATACTTAACCAGCCTGATGGAATTTAAAGCTTGCCCCCAACTCGCCCCAAAACTCACATAATTTGAATGAAAATACAAAACTCAAAACAAAAACCATCAGTAAAAAGCAAAACCCAGGAGTTCTGGTACTTTAGGTATAATTACGTTTAAAATAGAAATGAGATCTCCTACAATTTCATTAAATCAAATTTTATAGAGAAGATAATTAGCACTTTTTATGAAATTTTCATAAGATGGCTCAAAATAAATAGCTCTGAACAAAGGTAATGAAAAGGGGTCTGTTATCACAATTCTTGTTATGAGGGCAGTACAAAATGGTATGAATTATAAACTCAGCCATTCCACTTACTAATATAAATTATATTTACAGCCCTACAGAGATTTATAAAAGCCATAAGATTTTTTATTTGAATATTTTTTAACAATGCGTATTTGACTTAATGCGAACATACACACTATAAGCTTCAAAATTTTAACTACTATTCATAAAAGAATATAAACTTCTATTAAATTAAAACAATTCTTTCTTAAAGTATCTACAGCTGTTTATCAGTGAGGTTACCGCTTTTCTTTGAAAACCACACCTGCCTTTTATCAAGATGCAATTAAATAGAATGACAAGCTCGGTAATAAATGGAAATATATTGACGGCTATCTCAAGCAACATCGAACAAAAATCAACTGAAAATCAACCACATAAAAAACAGCACACTGACACTGTTGTATACAATATATTTCTTCATAATGAATTTATCAAAGGAACGAAATAATATATACGCACCTGTGCTTACCTGTTGTCTAAATTAACATGAATGTCTTGTAAATTAAAGTTTTAGTTCACTGCAGTTACTGAATTAGCAAAATGTCTATTTTCACTAGATGCGAAAAGTTTTTTTAAACAAGATGTTCAATTTTTATGGAAAATGTTAAAAAGATCATTAGTCAACATTAAGAAAATTAAAGTTTATTTGCATCAAAATAAAAGAAACAACTGTCCGGTAATCTGCATCCAACAAATATATGTAGTTTAAGGTGAAAAAGTCCTATCAAAGGAAAAAAACTAAATATTTCACTCAGTTTTTAACCAATAAAGAACAGTGACAAATATATAAATGTCTTGTAATTTCAACCAGCAGAAACATAATTTTGCGAAAACAGCCTCTTCAGTTTTACTTTTAATATACATTTGAGAACTACACGAAAATCCTTTCTGAGAGAAAAAAACTATTAAAAACCAACTTTTTTTTCTAAACTCTCGTCCTAACGTTTCGTAGCTATTTCCGTGGTTCTCTGGCTAAAAGTATAATTTTTCGTAAAGTCGAGAATTATAAACTAGCGTTCAACATTCAAACCCCCCAAGGCCCGCTTCCTTCTAGCCAATCAGGGGGTAACAAGTCCAGAGTTTAGGGAGCTCCGTTAGACACAATTTGAAAAACATCACACTGCACTCTTCTATTCTCCTCCGGGAAACATTCTAAGCGAGGGCGGGTCCCCTAGTCTTCATAGAATATAAAAAATAAATCAATCGTTATATCAATTCCAGGGGGAAAAACTGTAGGCAGGCAGTCCTAAAGAAGCGTGTCACTGCGGTTCCCAGGAAGCGTTATTCCTCTTTGCGAATAACTGAACAGAATAGCTGCTGCAAAAAGCATCTCTGGAGTATTTGCAACCCAGAGCCGTGCGCCCGACACGCAATACACCGGCAAAGGGTTAATGTAGTGGTGCCTCCAGCGCGGAAAAGAACTCAAGATCTAATACATCCTTAACGCGGGATTTTTACAAAGGCCATAAAAGTATTACCTAAAGTTAATGCCGTCACTGGCTCACATTACTCAAGAGCTGTGGAGTAGGAATTGATAGAAACCACCAGCTAAGGGGGGAAAAAATCACCGAAGGGAAAGACAAATAACAACTCTCGTCCCTCCTCCGCAGCGTCAAGAAAAGGTGGGGATCGCAAAATTACCGTTAAGTTGTCCGGGTAAAGACTTTTGGGGGAGGAAAACATCAATAGTTTCACAGATTGCTTTTTTCTTTGCGAAATGTTTCAAACACCGGAGAAGAAAAAAGTCTTCTAAGAAAAGTGCGACTCGGAGGAAATAGCCAGAAGGAAATCGCTAGCTCGAAGCCCCATCTTTCATCTCACCCGTGAACACCCCTCCCCTTTGAGAAAGGACAACGCTGCGAGAGCAAATGACAAAAATCCCCAGAAAGAAGCTAAAGTCCAGCATCTTCTTAAGAGCCCGCTACAACCTCAAATGCCTGCCCCTGCCCCATCTTGGAAGCGCGAGCCGCGGCCAGTCCTACCTACCTAGAGACCTCACCGGGACCCGGCGCGCCGGGGGAGGGCAGCCAGGGCTTGGGAAACTCTCTTTCCTGGGGCACCTCACCATTTAGCGTCAAAAGACAATATAGATAGATGGGTGCCGGGCGGTGGCGGGGGGAACTGTTGCCACGACCCACCGGAGGGACCCATGACTCCGGGTCCTGAATTTTCTGTCGACCTTAAGTTTCTTGTCACGAGATGACGGCCATCACCGGGTCGGGAAAAAGGCGAGAAAAGGCGGCCCGGTTCGGAAATGGGGGAGGGGCTCGCGTCCAGTCCTCCTGTCAAGGAGCGGCCGCCTGCAGAGACCCCGCCGTGCGCCGTCCCCGGCTCCGGTCCCAGGCGGGGGGTCTTGCTGACAGATCCGCTGGGCGGCGGCTGCTCCGCCGCAGCCGGTCCAGGTCCCGCTCAAACTGCAGCTCCCCTCCCCCCACAGCCCCGTCTCTCTGCGCTCCCGCCACATTCCGCTGGCCGCCGCCCACTCGCAGACGCCCAAGTTGCCCCTAACCCCACTTCCTCGGATTTTTCGCGATTGAGAGCAGACCGTGCGCCCACTCCCTGCACCCCCCACTGCCTCCGGGTCCCACCACTGCCACCTCCCAAGTCCCGCTCTGCTACTTCTTCAGGCTCTTACCGACTGCGCCAGCCTTGGCGAAGCTCCGCCGACTACCCTTTGCTCCAAGTAATTTTTGGTGATTTTTAAAGTAATTTTTCCGGCGGAGTCACAGTGGCGCTATACTCTCGGACAGGTTATCCTGTCTCTCCCGCTAGATTGATGAGATCAGGCATCACTCGAAAATGGCGCCGAAAGCGCTGAGGCTCCTCATTCAAATTCGTTAGAGCCAACCCCGCCGCCCCGGGGCATGCCGGGAACGCGGGCTGCCTCCACAGCTGTCAATACCGCCTCTTAACCCCCACTTCTCTTGCTTTCCCGACATTTTCGCGCATGCGCAAACTCCAACTCTCGCTCTCCTCCCGCCGTGCACATGCGCAGAATCATCGTTGTGCGCGGCTCTCCCTTTGCTTCTACGGTCGCAATCCTCTTGCTTCTTTTATTGCGCGTGCGTGTAGCGCTTTTGCAAAGACTCGGAGGTGAAGTGAAGGTAGAGGCTGTGGGGCCGAGGGTCCACTTACAGCTTTCAGCCCACAGGCATTTAGTCTACGTTGGAGGTAAACAAATACGGGTCCAGCTTAGGAGAAAAGAAAAACGTCTTACAGCCAGTGTCTAAACTCCAAACAACGGAATGTATCAATGAGACCTTGCATATGGATACACGTGCATTTAAAACGGCCCCGCCGGCGTGTAGAGCTCTTGCCGTTCGCCAGCGCTTTACCGGGGTTATCGCACTTAAGCCTCGGAACAACTTTACCAGGTAGGAACTATTACTGTTCTCGTTTTGAAGACCAGGAAACCTAGGCTCAGAGACATTAAGTAATTTGCCCAAGACAGCACAAGTGGCACAGAAGTGGATGAATCCACATCTGTCAGATTCAGCAGCCCTGGAGTTCTCTACCACGCTGTACGCTCCAACCTGAGCCCACACAGGAGGCGTGGTCTCCTTCCTCAATGGTGTGTGTGTGTGTGTGTGTGTGTGTGTGTGTGTGTGCGCGCGCGCGCCTGCCTGCCTAGAGTTAATGATTAAGTTTGCTGAAGCCCTTCTTTCCGGTCCTAAGCTGCCTATTGCGAACGCGCTTTCATTGAATCCAGTTTCTCCTACGTCTTAACTTGTTCTTAAACTTTTGAGATAGGAATGGGCAGTTTTCTGTGTCACTTAGGATTTTTTTTGTTTTTTTTTAATGGCGTGGTAAGTGAACTGAATCCAGCAAAGACAAGAGAACTGAATCCAGCAAAGACGAGTTTCTGTTGTGCAACGCATTGGTAAACTGACAGCTACCACGTATTGACTGTGTGCTGTGCACTGTGCTAAATAAATGATTTACGGATTAATCGTGTTTATTGCTCACAACAACCTTATGAAGTAGGTATTATCTTCGCTTTACAGATGAGGACACCTGAGACTCAGATTAAGAAATCTGCCCCAAAGTCTTAGAACTGGTAAGTAGAAGCACCATATCTAGGCAAACCTGTCTACTTTAAAAAAAATGGGCACTCTGATAGGACAATTAACGATAATAAAGTTGTAAATATTTTAAAACCTTCATTGTGAATGTTAAATAAGACAGTAGATATGAAAGTGCCTGAAGTACTAATAAGGAAGTGGGAGAAGGGTAGCATGGTTTGCATTATTGAAGTGTATTGGAAAAGAAATGGATTTTAGCAATTTGAGATCAAGAAGTAACATGGCAGAGTAGTATAAATAAACTACTTAATCTCTGGTACTTTTGTGCACTACTTAAGTGGGCTTGACTCTGGAACCGAACTGCCTGGGTTTGAATCCCAGCTCCACTACTTACTAGCTGTGTGGCCTTGTTGGGTAAATTATCTGTTGGACTTTTTGTAAAATAAGTATTATTAACACCTCATTGGATTGTTGTAAGGATGTAAATGAGCTAATATTAAAGGAATTTCAACAGTGCTTGGCATATTAGTAAATGTTATTGTCAGTCATTGATCTTTTAAACTGGCTTCTTTAATGGTTGTTTAAAAAAATCATACTACAGTTAGTGCAATTAGGGGTCAGCATTTTTTTTTTTTTTTTTTTTTTGAGGAGAGAGCCTCACTGTGTCGCCCAGGCTGGAGTACAGTGGCACGATCTTGGCTCACTGCAACCTCCGCCTCCCGCGTTGAAGCAGTTCTCCTGCCTCAGCATCCCATGTAGCTGGGATTACAGGTGCGCGCCACCACGCCTGGCTAATTTTTGTATTTTTAGTAGAGATGGGGTTTCACCATATTGGCCAGACTGGCCTCTAACTCCTGACCTCTCTGTCCGCCTCTGCCTCCCAAAGTGCTGGGATTACAGGCGTGAGCCACCACACCGGTCGGGGTTAGCATTCTTTTTCAAGAGCTCCTTAAAATGATAAATCAGACTGACAAATGATTTTTCCCAAATATGAATAATGATCCCTGTTAGGCGAATAAGGATGTTAATTTATTTTACCATCTCATAATACATGGAAATGGAATAGATTTATTGCTTTTTCTGATTGTTAAAGTTAAAAAACCCAGGCCCATCTAAAATATATAAAGTAAAAGTCATCCAAATTTCTAGCATCCAGGGATAACTACATATTGTTTATATTTTAAAAATATAACGTACCTTTGGGGACAATCAGTTGGGGGGGTCTGGATAAGTGGCATATTTGGGAGACATCTGTAAAATTGTAATAGAACTTACACATAAGTAAGTAACACAATCTGGTTTCCTCACTGTAGAATTTTTTTATCTTAGTCCCCTTCTAGATATAATCTGTTAAGAGAATTCTAAAGTGATGATGATAAATGATAACATTTATTGAAGACCTAACATGTGGCAGACACTGGGATAAACAGGTTACATGCATTTTCCCATTGAATCCTCATGTAACTCATGAAGTCGGTGCAATTATCTCTATTTTGCAGAGACTGAAGTTTCTGTGGAAGTCATTTTTAGAAGATTTAGGTCCAATTGTGTTTAAAGTCTTACGAAAAATTCTTTCATGAAAGCTTCTTGATTTGCTAAAATGGGAGAAAACAAAACCAACTAACATACAGTAGTTCCTGTGCCTGAACAGAGAGCCCAATTGTAAAAAATGGCCTTTTGAAAACTAAGAAATTTATGTTTGACCACAAGGGGGTGCAAATTCCTGAGTTACATTTCAAAGAAAAAACGGAAAAAGTGCTTTTACTTCAGACCATTAAATTCGTGGGTTAAAAACTAGTAAGAATTCCTGCCTGGAACTTTAATACCCTAAAAGTAATGTACTTTATAAGAAGAAAGAACTCAATTACTTAGGTGCTCAATTAGGGCAGAAGTGTCAGCTTGCTTTCTTCAATACAGTCAAGAGTTAATCATCCCTCCCCTACCCCTTTCCACTCACAGTTAGTGTCTCTGCATACCCCTCTTTACTTGTCATAGGAGTAGAACTGAAGTCATAATTTAAAATCTGGGGTTTTGCTCTTGGAAACTGAAATGCAGTCACCAGCAAATGGATGGTAAATATGGGTAGTGTGAAGAACAGAGGTCTTGTAATTTCTATGCTTTTTTTCCCTCCTGCTGTTTATAATGAGTAAGCTACAACTGATGCAATGTTGGCTTCAACATATTAACTTATTTAGATAAAACTATGAAAGCTATAGGTCTGTTCGTCTTTCAAGAAAGAACGCAGACTTTGAAACAGTATATACTATTGAATGTATTAAAAAGTTTGCTTAGCAGGGTTTTCGGGTTCCTTTTATTTTCCTGTTGGTCTTGTTTCTCTGAGATGGACTTAATTTAAAAAATACATCTTTTTTTTGGAAATAATTTCAAATTTACAAAAAGTTACAATATTAAAAAGAGTTCCAAGAACATCCATATCATTTTCTTGTACTTGTACATGGGTGAGTTTTCTTTCTCTCTCTCTCTCTCTATACACAGTCTATAAAAACACACAGAGGAAAAATGCAAGAAAAAAAACTTTCAATCCATATCAAGGTTTTATGATTATAGTTAAAAATATACACATCAAAAAGCCAATCTAAAATTTTGCATTGTTGACACTGCGAAACCATTCTTTTAAGGAACACTGGTGTTCTATGAGCTAGTCCGATTTTTGTTTTTTTAAGAGACAGGGTCTCTCTATATTGCCCAGGCTGGCTTCGAACTCCTGGACTCACGTGATCATCCCGTTCTACCTTCCGAGTAGCTGGGGCTGTAGGCAAGTGCCACTGCAGCCAGCTCAGTGATTCTTAAACTTTGAAAATTTGTTGAAAGTTATAGACCCTTTCTCTAGAATCATGCATATATGTGAATAGTTTGCATATAGTTTCAGAGGTGGATGATGGTCCATGGAGTTCCTGAAGAAAAGTAAAGAAAAAATCATTCATACATATGGTAAGCAGAATAATGGTCTACCAAAGATATCCAAAGATGTACATGTCCTAATCTATGGGGGATTTGTTAATATGTTACATGGTGAGAGATAATTCAAGTTTCAGATAAAAATTAGGGTTGTTACTCAGATGATCTGAAAATAGATTATTCTGGATCACCTGAGGAGGCCTAATTACATGGTCTTTTAAGTGTGTAAAGGGGAAGCAGAAGAATCCGTGTCAATGATGAGATGTGAGAAAGCCATTGCTGACTCTGAAGGTGGAAGGAGGCCATGAGCCAAAGAATAGTTCATGAGCCCTAGAAGCTGAAAAAGGCAAGAAAACAGACTCTTATGTAAGGCAGCCATGCCTACATCTCTATTTTAGCCCGCTAAGACCCATTTTGAATTTCTGACCTCCAGAACTGTAAGATAATACATTTCTGTTGTTTTAAGCCACTAAGTTTATGGTAATTTGTTTATGGTAATTTTATGGCATTAGGAAACTAATAAAGGATGTGAAAAGTCATTTTGTATGTATGTTGATGTGTGGTTATGGTAGTCATTAAGTGTGTATGTATACATACATATATATTTTAATACCACCTAGGTATTTTTCTGTTTTTTTTTTTTTTTGAGGTGGGGTTTCTGTCTCCTAGGCTGGAGTTCAGTGGAGTGATCTTGGCTCACTTTAACCTCTGTCTCCTGGGCTCAAGTGATCCTCCCACCTTAGCGTCCTGAGTAGCTGGGACCACAGGTGCCTGCCACCACGCCCACCTAATTTTTTGTATTTTTTGGTAGAGGTGGGGTTTCGTCATGTTGCCTGGGCTGTTCTGTACTTTTTTTTTAATGGATTAACAAATCCATAAAAAGTACTTCTTTATCTTTTTTAAAGGTCTATGAAGTGTCAGACCTCAAGATGGACAACTATTTAATTAGATATAGCATCTTATCTGCTACTGAAATTATATACCTACACAAGATTTACTGAAATTTCTTGGTAAGAATGTGATGAGCTTTTCCCACAAATTTATCCATCTACATTCCCTTTTTAAAATGCAACATTTTGATTTACAGTTATGTTGACAGTATCTTTGTTCTGTCAAGTATCTTGGATAATTTCTTTTCCCTGTAGCTGGCAGATTAAAAACAATTCGAAAATTCTCCTCAGAGGTTATTTAAACAGTATATAACTACATGTTTTAATTACTTAGGTATCAGCTTAAGAGAATAAACTGTTTAGAAACAGATTTATTTTGCAGTTGGGTAGATTATTTTAATGGAAGATTAATACAAGTACTTAATTATCTATAAATGTTTTATGTACAAGAAACTTTTTGTGATTTTTTTAAAGGATACCAATATTAGTTACATGGGGGAAAATTTATACACACATCAGGAAATGTAATTGTTTTGGGAAATTTACATGGTTTAGAGCTCCAATTTCTAAAAGTGATTACAACAGATTCATATATAGCATTTTCAACTTCGATTCTCTGAAGATACTGAGTTAAGATTTTTTTTCCTGTATGAGGAGTTATTTTGCTTACAATATTCTTGGCCACAAATCATGGAACTAAACTAAAATTCATTTACAACTAATAATGGTCAACACTTATTGAGGAAGTATGACTTTTTTTTTTTTTTTTTTTTTTTGATCTCAGCTCGCTGCAAGCTCCGCCTCCTGGGTTTACGCCATTCTCCTACCTCAGCCTCCCGAGTAGCTGGGACTACAGGCGCCCGCCACCTCGCCCGGCTAGTTTTTTGTATTTTTTAGTAGAGACGGGGTTTCACCATGTTAGCCAGGATGGTCTCGATCTTCTGACCTCGTGATCCGCCTGTCTCGGCCTCCCAAAGTGCTGGGATTACAGGCTTGAGCCACCGCGCCCGGCCTTTGTTTTTTTTTTGAGACAGAGTCTTGCTCTGTTGTCTAGGCTGGAGTACAATGGCATGATCTCGGCTCACTGCAACCTTTGCCTCCCGGGTTCAAGCAGTTCTCCTGCCGCGGCCTCCCAAGTAGCTGGTACAACACGCACCATCAGGCCCAGCTAATTTTTTTATTTTTAGTAGAGATGGGGTTTTGCCATGTTGGCCAGGCTGGTCTTGAACTCCTGGCCTCAGGTGATCCACCCACCTTGGCTTCCCAAAGTGGCGTGAGCCACTGCGCCCGGCCGGGAAGTATGAACTTTTTTTTTCACCTACCAATAAGGATTCCTGGAAAGGGATAAACCCATTTGTTTTTGTTAATCTTTCTAAAATTAATGTTAAAATGTTGACCTTAAATGAGATATTAAATACAGTGTTTTGAAACATTGCTTTTGAAATAATATATGCTTTGTAAGAACTTAATAAAGGATTGTAAGAACTTAATAAAAACCTATTCAGGATTGGAATCATAGAATCTTAAGAGTTAAAATATGTCTCTTCTTACTGCCACCTATTGTCTAAGTGTGAGGCTACTGAGAACAAATTTATTCCTACCTGCTTACAATAACCCTTTAAATATGATCATTATTTTTTTGAATCATGATGACAGCAGAATTCCCACTCCCCAACATCCTTTAATGTGTCTTTAATTGTTTTATGA